AGAAAAAAGCCAGAAGTGGTGCTGTGGCTCAAGTGGTAGAGCACTAGCCTTGAGCTGAAGAGCTGAGGGACAGCGCCCAGGCCCAGAGTTCAGGCCCTACGACCGGAACAAAAAAAAATAAAAGAAATGTACTCATTACCTTGCTCATGTAATTGTAACCACTCTGTACAGTATTTTCACAATTAAAAAAAAAAGCAACAACATGAACTTGAAATTTGGTAATGTCATTTTGTTTTGGCCAAATAAATACAATTTGCTAATTGATAACAGTGTTTTGAACATATTTTTGTTGTTGAAAAGTGACCATTCTGGAATGTCTTTTCTTCAGATTATTCGGAGCTGGGAGAACTTCCCCCACGGTCTCCTTTAGAACCAGTATGTGAAGATGGACCATTTGGCCCTGTACCAGAGGGAAAAAAAAGGACGTCACGTGAACTGCGAGAGCTCTGGAAAAAGGCTATTCTGCAACAGATACTCCTCCTAAGGATGGAGAAAGAAAATCAGAAGCTACAAGGTTGGTTTACCATTTTGAAATTGGACAGGCGTGATGATCTTAATTGGTCTTGAATCCAAGTTAATCACATTGGATATAAACATGCAGTCATTTTGTGGAGGAGAAGGGAAAAAAATCATTTAAGTAAGGATACAGGTGGACCCATTGCAACAATGAGATGTACAAGTCGTTATGTCGAAAATGAACTTTACAACTTTGGTGGGGGGGTAGGATTGAGTGGAGGAGGCAAGGGGAGGATGGGAAGGGGAAACAAAGGAGGAGGAGGCTACAATGCTTGATAAGAAATGTACTCATCTTACCCATGTAATTGTAACCCCTCTGTACAGTATTTTCACAATAAAAAAAAGATATAAACAACAGGGGATGAATGATTTTGAGGAAGAAAATACTGAGGTGTTGTTTGTCTACATCAAGATTTTCGTGGCAGTGGATTATCTATGAGGAAAAATTCCCTATGACGATAGTGATGAGTCTAGGCTCATAATTCATAGCTGTAGGTTTCTCCATCGAAGTGTGAACTCTTACAGGTGGACCCATTGCAACAATGAGATATACAAGATGCTATGTAGAAAAACGGACTTTACAAGTTTGGTGGAGAGGAGGTGTAGTTGTGGAGATGGGAGGGCAGGGATGGTAGGGGAAAAACAAAGGAGGAGGCAACAATACTTGATAAGAAACATACTCATTACCTTGCTCATGTAATTGTAACCTCTCTGTACGGTATTTTCACAATAAAAAAAACTTATTTAAAAAAAAATGAAGATTGGGCTAGGAAGGTGGCTCAGTGGTAGAGTGCTTGCCTTGCATGCTTGAGGCCCTGGATTTGATTCTTCAGCACCACATAAGCGGAAAAAGCCAGAAGTGGCTCAAACGTTGAGCTGAAGGGCTGAGGGACAGAGCCCAGGCCCAGAGTTCAGGCCCCATGGCCAGCAAAAAAAAAAAAAGAAGATTGTCTAACACAAATCATATCAGTTTATTTTTCAAAGTAGTATCAGTAGTATTTACTTTCTGAGACTATTAAGATAGTCTTACCCACTATATTAATTGATCCCATGTGCTCATTATTACCATACTGCCTACAAGTTTTTCATAGTCATGGCATCAGCTGAATAATAGCTTTACACCACGGCATTTACATTCATGTGTATGCTGAGACTGCAAAAAAAGCAGCAGTGTTAGTCATGTGGGTCATAATACTTAATGCTGCTGCCATGTTGGTTTTTTTGGGGTCTTTTCCATTTGCTTCTTAAAAGAAGGTTAAATTACAGAGTAAATGGTCCTTGAACTTAATGAAGGGTTTGAACAAACTTGCATACTCTCTGAAAAAGAAATTGGAAGAACATACATCATATATGAAATTCTTTCTGTGGTTCAGTGTTTGTTTACTTTTGAATCTGTCAATCAAATATTTTATTACTATTCCTGGGGGGCATTACAAACCATATCATCTAAATCTACCTAACATTTGTTAGCTGAAGTTGTGATTTTTCTCAAAATTACACTGCTAATTTGCTGTGGTGTTGGGGCTAAAAATGCATCAGCTCTTTTCCACATTAGCAGTGCTCTAATATTGCTCTTTGCAAACATATTTTCTCCATTTTAAAATAAAAATGTGAATAGCCTGATGCAGGACAGCAAGGTGGGATTCAAGAAAATGATGATTTGGGCGTGTCATTTTTATCTGACTAATTCATATAACTCAACATTATATGTTTATTTAAAGTTAAACTGATCAATATTACATCACCATAATTATATGATGACATTAAATTTTGGTTTGCAATTAAACATGGTTTAATTTACCAAAGGAATTTCCTTGAATTAATAATAACATGTTTTAAAAATTTTAAATAGTGAAGTTTCCTATAATCTCTGCAAATGCAGGGGCATTTCATTGAGGAGACTTTAGCTTTCCAAAGGATGATGGCAGTTGGCAGAAGAGTTTTGTCTGTAGAAGTGTTATTATCAGCGCAGGAGTGACAATAGGGCAGTGGGTATACATCAAAGTTGAATATTAATCACACTCAGTCAGCCTAGATATCCACGTTACATGGTAATAAATGTTGAGAAAATCCCTGCAAAATTCCATGTGATTTCATTCAGTCCTATTTCCCTACCCTCATGAGCAGTTCTTATTTCATGCCATGAATGATTGGGTCCTTCATCTACAGTTTATTGGAAACTTGCTGTTTACAGAAGATTTGCTTTGTATGCCTTGGCTGATAAAGCATTTCCCAGGCCACTGATTCTAGATAGCAGGATTCTCAAACAGAGGATGTTGCTTGGGCTCTGTTGACATAGCCAGATGTCCTCTGGGAAGAATTCACTGCCAAAGAAACCATGTTACAGTGAAATTTCTTGCACAATCCCAGTAATGTGTTTTCACCAATCTTAGGACTAAATGTAAATGCTACAGTTAACCCTAATCTAGTCAGAAAAATGTGGGCCAATTTATAAGTTAATGTCCTGTTTTCTAATTTGATGCCTTAATTTTTATTATTATTTTATTTATTATTATTATTTTGGGGTAGTGCCAATCCTGGGGCTTGAACTCAGGGTCTGGGTACTGTCTCTGAGATGCTTTTGTTCAAGTCTAGTACTGACACTTGATGCACAGCTCCACTTCTGGCTGTTTTTGTGTTTAGAGATGAGAATGTCATAGACTTTCTTGCCTAGGCTGGCTTTGAACTGCCATCCTCAGATCTCAGCCTCCAAGCAGTTAAAAGTACACGTATGATCAACCAATGCCTGGCTAATTTGATATATTGATGAAGCAAAACAAGTTATATTTCTCCAAATAAAGCTGAATAAGCCAAATATGGAAGTACCCTAAAGGAACAAACATATAGTTCTTAACATACATGATCTGAATTTGAATCATGAAACTTAAAAATGCCCCCCTCCCAAAAAAGAAAAAAGAAAGTAACTATGCTGGTACCAAGAGCTCAGTATAGGATCTAATCACAGTTCATCAGTGCTAGTCTCAAACCTAATTTGCCCAAGGGTTAGCTTAAAGCCAGTGACATTTTATATAACTCCCTCAACCCCCCACAAAAAAAATATGAGGTCAACGTTTTTTTAAAATGTGAATTCTAAAGATGTCAGGAGGGGCTGGGAAGTTGGCTCAGTTGCATGCATGAACCACATAAGAAGAAAAAGCTGGAAGTGGCTCTGTGGCTCAAGTGGTAGAGCACTAGCCTTGAGTTGAAGAGATGAGGGACATGATCCAGGATCAGAGTTCAGGCCCCACCACCGACAAAAAACAAACAATAAAGCTGTCAGGAATTGTTTAAAAGGATCTAGAAAACAAGTTATTTAAAGTAAGAGGGAAAAGAATAAAAATACGGGGTGAAAAATAATAAAAGAGGGAAGTAACACTAGGCCTAGAATCACCAGGTTGCCTAGTAGCTAAATACCCCTGGGTAAAATCACTTAATCAAATCTGTTCACTTAATTTTTGTGTCCCTGAAGTGAGTGATTAGACTAGGGAATCCATTTAACTTGTCAATTTAAAGTTTTTGATATTGATTCCCCCCCCCTGCTTCTTTGGTAATTTAGGTCTAATTCTTCTTAAGGCAGCTCTTGGTAGTACACTAGAGCTCTATCTGTCTGCTTATATGTGAGGAGATACCTGTGAACAGAGTAGATTTATTCTGTTCAGTTCAAGGGAGCTGGAACAGAACCATTGATCAACATCACCTACTTTAGGTTGGAGTCTAAATAAAGAGAAACTTAGTATATCTCTTAGTTTCAATTTAAAAAATAAATTATTGAGCTCTAACGATCACTAGGAATTTAACACATGGCTCCTGCTCTTGAAATGTTTATGGTTTGATAGGCTAGCTATAAAGATGGAAAGAACTAAATAGAAGTGGGCTATGTCTCCATTTAATCATAGGGCCACCAGGACACATTGGTGTGTACCACTAAAAGAAATCAGATTTTTAGCATTTCCAAAACAAGGCAAAGGGATGATTATCATTTGCTGTATTTGTCCTAGATCTCACAAGCGTGGAATAATTGGTTGCATATTAGAAGATCTGTACTATCTACTAATCTGCCCTCACATTGTCTCTTCTAGCCTCCGAGAATGATTTGCAAAATAAGCGCCTAAAGCTTGATTATGAAGAAATCACTCCTTGCCTAAAAGAAGTAACTACCATATGGGAAAAGATGCTTAGCACTCCAGGAAGATCAAAAATTAAGTTTGACATGGAAAAAATGCACTCAGCTGTTGGGCAAGGTAAGCCTTCTCAGGACCCAGGTGGCCAGCCTCACTCACTGAGAGCTGAGATAGGTGTGGTGTTTAGTTTTAGTGACCATCTCTCCTTTTCATCACATCTTTATCTACTCTGTTTCATATATCTTACTTACTGATGCAAGTTTCATCACTTTAAAAAATATTTATTTATATTCAGTAGTTGTACAAAAGAATTACCATTCAACAAATCAGTTTATGAATACAATGCATCTTGTCACCCCTTTCCTCCTTCTCTCCCATGCCTCCAACCCAACCCTTCCTCTCAATTTTCTTTATTTTCATAGACTATGTATTTAATATCCTTCTTTTCTTCATCCCTCTACCCCCCCCCCACACACACACTTGACCTCTCTCCCATACCTTTCAAGTGCCAGTTTCCTGGTATTTATTTCGGTGGACTGTAAGCTTTCCTAAGGAATTACTCCATTTGAATTCTCTCCTGAAAATACTATGCTTCAGTTAATACATCTATGTATGCCCCATTTGTGTTTACTTATACATTTATCTGTTCTAACCTTCTACATAGGAGAGAAAATATGTGACTTTGTCTCTGTAGGCCTGAGTTACTTCACTTCCCCTAATTTTTTCCAGGTCCATCCTTTTTTTTTTTGCAGATGAATACTATGCTTCATAGTGGATGGGTACAATTTCATTGTTGAGATAATTAAAATGTCCACAAATCAAGGAAGTATAACAAAAAGATAATCTAAAGGTTATTAACTGTGTATGTGTTGTGATGATATGTTTTGACTTAAATAGTAAACTAAGAACTAATTGTGTCATTTCTTGCTGGGAGACCAGAGTGTAAAGCACAGACTTTAGACAGGTGGTTCTGGGTTTGGCCCCGCCCAGCTGTGTGTTTTGCAGTGTGATAGTAAGCCAAGACTTAAGGTCTCAGAGCCCATTTTCCATGTGGGTGAGATATGGGTGTTGGACGTGGTGGTAAGGAAAGGATCTTAGCCCAGGAGAACATTACATGCGTCTGCAGTCCTGCCAGGCCTTGAAGGTGGCAGTGGGGGCTGCCTTTTAGTCTCAGCTGTTAATTAATCCAGGAGAGGTAAGGATAGTTTTGCAACAAAGTTTGGGAACATTTCCAGCAATTTGACATAGTGGTTTTATATTTTTATCATTCTGTTTCTCTTGGGTTGTTTTCTACTAATTCATTTTTATTGTACATTATAAAAGCATCACTCTACTGGGGATTGGAAAATTTAAAAATAAAAGCTGATCCTTCACAGGCTAAAAAGCGTCATTTTAGATCATAATTTCTACAAACTTCAGTGTTCAGAACCCTCCAAGTATAAACTATTTTATTATTGCTACTGAGTTCTAATGCTGAATAACTTGTTATTTGATAAGAGGTGTGTGTGTATATATATATATATATATATATATATCCATATATATATGCATCTCCATCCTATGGTTTTCTTCTGATTTTATTGGTTATACAGAATTTATAGAGCAAAGCAGCTTTTCTGTGATAGTTTTAGGTGTTTTTGAGTTTTTAGGTTGGTTTGTTTGTGGGGTTTTTTGGTACCAACACTGGGGCTTGAACTGAGGACCTTGCATTTTTCCTTTGCTTTTTTTTTTTGCTCAAGGCTTGTGCTTTACCACTTGAGCCACACCTTCACCTCTGACTTTTTGCTGATTAATTGGAAATAGGAATCTTGCAGACTTTCTGCCCAGGCTAATTTTGACCTACAGTCCTCAGATCTCAGCCTTCTATGTAGTTAGGATGACAGGCCTGAACCTTTAGTTTTGATGGAGTCCATTTTACTGATGATGGGTAGTTGTCACTGGTTGTGACTTTCCCCTTCCTAAGGGTCAGGACACTGGGCTTAGAACAGCTGGTAATGAGCTCACACCTCAGGCTGCAGGGTTCTCACCACCACTGCACTGGATCTGGGTGAACCATACCGTTCTCAGGATCCAGCTATGCTGAAGACTGAGATTTTGAATAGACAAGGCTTTCCAATGTGACCTCAGACAGGTCTTCTCACCTTCCTGGGCTCCTACCTCCAGACTGATAGCATGAGAGGCTTGACAATCTACAGATCTTGGGAATGGCTATGCTAACATTCTTTGCATCCATTCTAATATTGATTGCTGGAAGTTTACCCTTAAACCAGATGGCTGCAGCTGTTTGTGTGTGTGTGTGTGTGTGTGTGTGTGTGTGTGTGTGTGTGTGTGTGCGTTTTCCTTTTTTCACAGTTGACTAGGTGTTGGTCTTTCATAGTCTATGTCAGCTATTTCAAATATTTGAGTATCTCAAAGGCCTGGTACCTGTACATGTTTTTCATTCTGTATTTAGAAGCGGAAACATTAGAAAATACTTGAGGAATCTAGACCTTGTGTGGTGGAGTTGGGCATGGATGATTAGACAGTTAGTTTATGTACTGGGGTGAGCTAAGGCTGACCTGGAATTCCTCCTGGATTGCCTGACTTAGTCACATTGCTTCTTTACAGGAGCTCTTTCTAACAGTTAAAGGGTTGTCTGTCAGCCAACTTCAGCATATTAAGACTGACCACTCCACACAAACAACGACTATCCATGTTGTGACTCAGAACTTTACTACAAGATTCAATCAGAACCCTACTTTGACCTTTCAAGTAGAGGCTGAGTCACTTTAGTCCTTGCATGGGTACTGAGACCTTTCCTCCTAACCATCTGCAGCCTTCTTAATTTAGAAGAAGGAAGAACAATTCTATGGAATGTTAGATAATTCAAAGTTTAGTGTAAGAATGATTTCTTTAAAGATATTTTATATATATATATATATATATATATATATATATTGTTGTTAGTCATGGGGCTTGAACTCTAGGCCTGCGTGCTGTCCCTCAGCTCTTCAGCTTAAGGCTAGTGCTGTACCACTTGAGCCACAGCACCACTTCCAGTTTTCTGGTTTATTGGATAGAAGAGTCTCATGGACGTTCCTGCCCGGGCTGGCTTTGAACCTCAATCCTCACATCTCAGCCTTCTGAGTAGCTAGAATTATAGGCGTGTGCCACCAGCGCCTGGCTTAAAGATACAAAATTTTAGAAGCTAGGATACGTATTTCTAGGAATATAGAACAGCTGGTTATATGGGCCAGATGCAAACTTTGCTTGCCTTTGACCATGCGATGCCATTTAGAGAAAATTATTCTAGAGGTTGGGAAGGTGGCTTAGTGGTAAAATGCTTGCCTTGCATGCATGAGGCCCTGGGTTCAATTCCTCAGCACCATATAAGCAGAAAAAGCCAGAAGTGGTGCTGTGGCTCAAGTGGTAGAGTGCTAATCTTGAGCTGAAAAGCTGAGTGACAGTGCCCAGGCCCAGAGTTCAGGCCCCACGACTAACCAAAAAAAAAAAAAAAAAATTCTAGAAATTAGCCAGCCAAAATTGTAATGCAGTAAGAAGAATGCTTATTGTGTTGTGGTTTGAAAGCCTAATCCAAAAACAAAGCAACTAAACCATGTGATTATCTATGTCATAATTCCTTGAAAATAACATACCTATTTATTGATGAAAAGTTTGAGATAAGTTGTTCAGTGAGGAAAAATAAAGTATAGCATGGTCTCTTGTACAATTGATATTTCCGTAGTGTACACATAGAAAAACATCCAGAATGTGTTCAGATACTAGGGATTGTGGCAGGAAGACCATCCTTCCGGGTTACCTGATATGACCATGGGCTTCAAATTTTCCTGCCAAAATCATCAACAGCCTTCCTCCCCTTCACTTTCAAAAGCTTCCTGTTTTGGTTCATAAATTGTACATTTATTCTAGTTATGGTAGCCTTTATTTCTTTCCTGTGCTCTGCTTTCTTTTCTTTCTTTTTTTGTGCTGGTTAGGGCTTGAATTCCAGTCCTAGGCATTGTCCCTGAGCTCTTTTGCTAGAGGCTAGCACTCTACCACTTGAGCCACAGCTCCACTTCCAGCTTTTGTGGTGTTTAATTGGAGATAAGAGTTTCATGGACTTTCCTGCCTGTGCTGGCTCAAACCATGATCCTCAGATCTCAGCTCTTACTTAAGGAACTAGGATTACAGGAGTAAGCCACTGATGCCTGGTTTGGCCTTTAATTTTTATATTTTTTTGTGTTTTCAGAGATCCACCTTCCCCAAACACACACTTCTGAATAGTAATCATATATTAAATCAGTTATTTACATATTTACAAAGTTATTTACATAGAGGCTGAGGTAAACTTTCCTGCCCACCCAGTATTCTGCCTTAAGGCTGTGGGTAGACTCTCCTGCCAGGTTTCTCTCTTGGTCTAGGAGTAAGTTAAAACAGCATGGGCAAGGATATTCCAAACTATTCTTAGCAAAAACATTATGCCTGACTTGTGTGATCCTTTCCTTTGAATCCTAGGCTCTCAGCTTACTCTTTTATACTAGTTCGTTCATGTTACTCCCCAGTGACACAGCCAGAATTCTCTTCTCCAAACACTAAAGTCTGATAAGATAATGGAATGATTTAGTAATAAGAGGAAATTGGGCATCTCATACTAGGGGAAAATTTTCCAAACTGACCAAAAATACTTTGTGAAAAAGCCCCACTATAAATCATTTGTCACACCAGCTATTTTGCTCCTTCACATTTGCTTATAGTCAGGGTTTGAAGTCGTTGTGTGTGTGTGTGTCCAAGACATATTTATGAACAAGAATGGTAGGGAAAGAGGGAAAAAAGAATATTCTATAAAAGCAGCTCTCAAAGAATACTACTTTCCTGTTAACAGGATAGAAATACGAAACAACAGGTTTTTCTCTCATAGTTCTGCAATTTCAACGTCATGGTGTTGGTAGGCTGAACTTGGCCATCTCCAGCTTCAGATGGCAGTCCGCATTCTTGCCTTCATGATGCATCATTGCCTCCATAGTCACATTGACTCTTCTAAGTGCCTTTGTCATCACTGTTGCCCCTGTGTGACTGCTGTAATGACGCCAGTCCTGGGCCTAGAGTCTACCGGGATAATCAAGGATGACCTCCTTGCCACAGGATCCTTACTTAATTAGATCTGTGAATAAGGTCATATTCCTGGGTTCTAGAAATTAGGAGAAAGTAGACATTTGAGAGGGCCACCATTTATCAGGTAGTACTGAAATAAATACTAGGGAAGGCATGGGATTTGGTCTGTTAGCTGGGTTCCTCCTCCTAGCTAACCTAATTTTTCTCTTTCATTGCTAAAATACGAGGGAAAAAGCCAAGTTCTTACTATACCTAAAGGTGCCTTCTCTCTGGTTTATTTTATTCCTTTTCCTTCCTCCTCAAGGCTGGGTTTAAATTGAAGGAGTCTATGAAACTTGGATTATTCAATTAGGAAAGAGCCAGCTTGCCTTCCCCTGGGCTCTGCCTCTCCTTGACTGGAGATCCCAGTTTGCTCTGTAGATTTTCATGCTTCATCTCATCACCTTACAACAGTGTTCATTCATACCAGCTAGGGATCATGTCATATTTGCTGGCTTATCCTTTCAGAATATAACCTAGTCAGAACATAATATATCTTGGAAAAATAGAGGGAAAAATGGATGGGGCCAGGGAAATGAGGGGAGAGTGGGAGGTTGGAAGGAAAGAAGGAGGAGAACAAATAGGACAAAGTCTTGGTTGCTTCCTGTGCCATTAATTCACAGTGGAACAAGAATTTGGAGTGTAGAATGAAACAACTCAACATGAAGTGTTGTTTTTATAGTTTCCACCCCTCCCTCTTTTAAAGGTGTGCCACGTCATCACCGTGGTGAAATCTGGAAATTTCTAGCTGAGCAGTTCCACCTTAAACACCCATTTCCCAGTAAACAGCAGCCAAAGGATGTGCCCTACAAAGAACTCTTAAAACAGCTCACCTCCCAGCAGCATGCGATTCTCATCGACCTGGGTGAGTCTGCACTATTGACTGGAGATGAACCAGGAGGGTTTCAAACAATCTGAAGAGACTATCCCCGTTATTTAGCGAAGTGCCTTTCGGTTTAACAGTCAAAATTTACTACTGAGACTCTTAATTTAAAAAGCCCAAGAGTGATCCCAAATGTCCTCTTCAAGTATATAAAAATCTCTTCTTTTCACTGGGCATCTGGATTATTCTGCTTGGCATGAGGTGAGAGGCTGCTCATTAAGTCCTAACGGCTTCAGTGTCATAATTCAGACATCGATGGGATGTTTTTATGGTCAGCTGTAGGAACATCCTGGGACATACAATGGCATGGTTTAATTACAGCAGCTCAATCACCTGGGATGATTCTATCTTGGAATCGGGACAATGGTTTCAAATACACAAAGATGGAAACTGCATGTCAGATATATTTGAAAACCTTGCTGGACTGATACAATTGTGATGTACAAAAGACCACCTGACTGTCAGCAGCTGTGCAGGTTTGTGCAGTATGGCTCAAATGGCTGTGTGCTCACACTTCCATTAATCTTCACAATATTGTCACATGTAGATAATGTTGAAAAACTTAAAACAGAAAGGTGAAGTAACTTGTTCAGAATGACCCAGCCAATTGGTTGCTGAACAGTGTGGTGGCCAGACTTCCACTGCCCTGGCTTTGCTTTCCCCTGTAGGATTCAACCTTTATCGGCTGGACTGGCGCTGGTTTGCCAGTGTACCCTTAGCTTCCAGTGTTAACAGTGCATCATATAGTAGGTGCTCAACAACTCTTTTTCATAAAATTGACGTGAGCCACTGCAGTCACATGTGACTCTCACAACAGCCCTCTGAAACTAGTCCTGTATCCTCCCAAAGTAGTGAGGAAACTGAGGCCCAGAGCACTCAAGTGCTAACCACAGTCCATCTGAGCCGAGGTGCAAGTACCTAAACCTGTCGTCCCTCCACAATAAGGCCCTACCATCCCTCTGGTCCCCTAGTCCAAAAGGCCCCAGGCCTCTATGGGAGCAGAAGCCCTGACTGTGGAAGCCTCAGTGGAGTCAGCGTCCACAGTAACCCTGAGGGTGGCTGCTCATGTGATGTGTAATTGAAACAATGACATTGTGTTCCCATGATGAGAAGTAGAGATGCATTTGGGGGTAGGAGGGTGGATAGGAGTAAGCACCCTTCCCCTCTGCATTCCTCCCCAGGACAGGAGGGGAGCAAGGTTTCCCTCCCCTGATGCTGTTACTGACGTTTTCCTCTGTAACCGCCCTACAGTGCTGTCTGGTCAGTCTTCTTCCTCATGCGCCCATCTAATCACCTTCCTGTAGAAGACAAGGAAAGTCCCAACCAGCCCAGAGCCCCTGCCTGACTCAGCCTCTTCTTGAAGCTGTTTGAGCCCCAGTCCAGGGGGCCTTTCTGCCTGAGTCACAGCTGCTGATTCACAGGCAGGATCAGGCTTACCTACATCCTCTCTGTCCCTACCCTGAGGACTAGTGGCTACGCCTATCTCCCAGCCAGCATTGACTACCCCCCTCACTTCAGGCCTGACCTTTATTTTGGAAGATGTCCAACAACCTCCCAGAGGCCTATAAGAACCTTCAATTGAAAAAGTTTCTTAAGTTACCTCCCAAGTCTTCCCAGTGTTTATCCAGGGACCTTCCCAGGTCATCTCTCCCCTTTTAGAGCCAGAAAAACCTGGGTATTGACTCAGTACCAGCAGTGGAGTCCTTCTGCTGAGCTCAGACTCTACTCCATGGGTCAGGGTCCAGAGGCCTGATGCAGAAATCCCTCCTCCAGACTTTGTCCATCACTTTCCCAGCTTCAACAAGGACTATGTTTTTGCCACAGCTGGGGCCTATACTTTCTTTTTTGTCTACTCCATAGCTTAAGCCTAATAAAAGTGCATAGTAGAGAGTGAAGTCAAATCAGTCATTGAGCTAGGTGTGGTAGGGCAGTCTGTAATAGCAGCTGTGCAAATGGTGAGAGAGTTAGGATAATAGGGCGGACGTGCTCAGATACTATGTGAGCACTGAGGGAGAAGGTGGAAGGCGACTTTTGTCTTGTTTTTTGTTTTTAATTTAATTTTATTGTAAAGGTGTTGTACAGAGGGTTAGTTGTATAAATAAGACAATGAGTACATTTCTTGTCGAACATTGTTACCCTTTCTCTTGTTGAAGGCGAAGTTTGAATATAAAGTATCTCATGCATGTATTCATTGAATGATGAAATTCATTAGAATTGTTTTAGAAAGGAACTAGGGGATGAATTTGATCAAAGAACATTCTGTGCATATATGGAAATGTCACAGTGAAAGCCCTTTGTGCAACTAATATAGTACTAGTTTTTTTTTTAAGGACAAAAATGAAAGTAGAAGCAAATGGACAGGGGCCCTGAGTTCAATTCCCAGTAATGCTTTAAAATTAAAAAAAAAAAAGTATCCTTATGCTGGCCAGAAGAACAGGGTAATTTGTGGTTAGTTGTATCTTAACTTGCATGAATTTTTATTTTCCTGCCTCTTGCTTTTACTTTTTGAAATTGGCTTTAAGTCCATAGAATTTTTCTAAGATTTATTCCTTAAAAAGTAAAAATGTTGCAGTGGGATAGTTTTATAGCTTGTAAAATACTTTTCCAAACTTGGTCAGATTTTATCCTTCCACAGCTCTGTACAAAGTTAGGCACATGTCATTAGTTCCATTGCAGAAGTGATGAATGAGGCCCAAGAACTGGAGTGTTTTGCTTAGCCTTGTCACAGACTCGGTGGCAGAACTGAGTATCCTTAGTCTTCATGCCCTACGCCTTCCAGGAGTCCCTACTTCAGAGTCTTATGTGTCTCTGTCCAGTCTCCTAGAGGATACTCCTCTGCCTCTAAGGTGGGGGAGCTTACTCTTTCAGAATGGACCACAGCCAACCAGGAGAAAACACCTACTCTCAGAGCTTAACAGATGATACTTAACAAATCATTCTCTTGACCTCATACCCAGGACCTGCCCCCTCTTTATGCTGGTTCTAGCTATATCCATTTTTCTGGCCATTAGATGACTGACCTTTCTCTTTGTTCTGACTCTTTCCTTTTCTTTGTGCCAGTCCTGAGGCTTGAACTCAGGGCATGGACTCTGTCCTGAGTATTTGGATCAAAGATAGCCCTCTCCCACTTGAGCAACAGCTCCATTTCCAGCTTTTTTTTTGGGGGGGGGCGGTGGCTGAGAAAAGGGTGTTGGTAATTGGAGATAAGAGGCTTTTCTGCCTGGGCTGGTTTCAAACTGAGATTCTCAGATCTCAGACTCCATAGTAGCTAGGATTACAGACATGAGCCACTGGCAACCATCTAGAAGTGACATTTCTTGATGAGCTTTTTGTTTCCCTTCCAGTGAGACCCAGATTAAGTTAGGCCAGCCTGTGCTGATTGAGATAAGGTGCGTGTCCAGAGGATCATTTAAATCAAGAACCCAATATGTGAATTTTCTTTCCACTCTTAACCAAAGGCTTAAAATCTGCTTGTTTATCTGGAAGAAAAGAACTGTGTCAGGAAAGAGCTTTCTTCATGCTTTTTTAGAGTCCATAAAAACTGCATAGTAGATGGGTCTCTGAAAGGAAAGCTTCAACCAAGGGTATTACAATAACCTCATGTAAAGGGCAGGGAGAGAGCTGGAGAGCTTCCCCTTCCTGCCTGGCTGGTGTCTGCCTCATTTGACTTTAGCACACAGTCAAGTACTTGCCACACATTTTGTATAGGAGCCAGAATTCTTGCTGCACACAGTGGTGTGCAGGCAGAAGCAGCTTGTTCCTTCATCTCTGCCTGGAAGCCTGGTGAGAAAAATTGAAAATCTTGATAGCAAAAGACAGAAAAAGTGTCTAGAATTTGTTACGCAGTAGTGACAATAACCTGTCTGTTCAATTTGGGACTCTGGAGGCCAATTGAACAGTCACAGTTCCAGAGTCTAATGAATTCTTGTGCCAGCAGCTACACATGTTATTCACTAGGTATATTGTGGGTATTTGGAGCCTCACGTTGGTAAAGAATTTACTGAGACAGACAGAAGCTTATTAAGATTTGGGTTTAAGAGAGATACAGCTGGCAGAGGAGCATACTACTGCTGCCGCTGCTAATCTGATATGGGATTAGGGACAAGCTTTATGGGTTTAAGGGGAATTTTGTTGACTTGCTAGTTCTTTATGCAGACCCTATTGATAGGCTGTCTCCTTCTCAGACTATGGTTCAAAATTCATAGGCACAGAACAGGTTGAGCATTCCGTTTTCTTATCTGCATTCCATCTAACCCATTTTAAGGGCTTGATTTGCTTCCTCATTCCACCTGACCATCTTGCACCCTAGGCTCATCTACATTCCATTGGGACCTTAGTATTCTACCATGTCCCCTTAACAGGGGCCTCTTCCACAGGATGGGCTGCTGTTTCTCATATTATCAAGATCTCATCTGATAACCATATTTGTTTGGTCATTGTAAATATGCTCTATAACCTCACAGTGCTACAAGTAAATAGAGTGAGCAAAGGAAAGAATAAAATTTCTTTCTTGGTGATCTGAAAACTGAAAAATACTTAATAACTAGCTCCTCTCAACCCTTTCCTTAAAAGATGCCCTGGTGTTTAGAGTGTGCAGATTTCCATCATCAAGACTCCTATTGTAGCCAGTTTAAAGCTTGAAGTTACAGATGGCAAGCTGGGCCAAGTGCACACCAAACAGAGCCTTTAGGAGCCAGACCCATCATCATTGGACTTCACTAAATGCTTTCTAGAAATACTGAATTACAGAAGAGTTTTTCTGACTTCATCTAGCCACCATGCCATTAGTAGCAATTCCACAGATTCTGCTTAAGCAGTAGATATATTCCATGGACTTTAGGAAGCACACTTTCTTGTGGGAAAGCAGTCATTAGACAACTGATGCTCAAAGTAAAAATTTAATTCTGAAGTGTGGTACAAAAAGACCCCCCACCCCCTACCAATCTCTGCTCTGTATCCCTCATTTCAAATTTTGCTCAGTTTAAGCTGTTAGGACCACCAGCTTTGTAGATCATCTGCTTGTGAGTCATTACTGCATGTACCCATGAGAAACTGATGGCGTGAGAGGGTCAGATGGGATTACCTGTTTCTAGTACCACTTCCTAGAGACCAGGAATATCAAGCTTCCAGGGAAGGGAACAAAGGAAACTTGTTAGCCAACTGTTGGAGCCTGAGCCATACTGAATAGCTCTGCGGGTGGTTCTTTGCTTCCTTTAGAATCCTCTGGCTGCTGGCAGCAATGCCATTGACAGCTGAGCAGACTAGGGATCTCATAGCAGGTGCAGTCAGGTGGGCTCTGCAGAGAAAAAGGCAGTTCACTCAAGACTGGATGTGTTTCTCAGTGCCACCTCTGTTCTACTGCTACTGAAGCATTTCTTGCTAGGGGTCAGCCTGGGATGTGCTTGTTGAATAAGTCCTTGAATGATGTGATCCCTACTGATCCTTCAACCTTCAAGTGATGGGCAAAGAAAAAATGGGTCCTGGACAGATATTGCTTAGATGAATGAGTGATAGTCTTTAGGAAATTCCTAAAGGATGACCTTATTGGGTTTTGAAGCATTCTTTCATTTGTTTTTGGTGGTGCTAGGGATTAAATTCGGGGCCTCTCATTCTCCTACACAAGCTGTGTTCTTAGTCCTACATTTCCTTTTAATATAACCATGGAGTTTCTTTGTGCTCATGTTTGATACTCTTCCATTTAACACATTCACATTTTGTCTGGGAAGGTAGACAGACCTTTTTTTTTCTGTACTGGTTGGAAGCTGAATTTTTGAGAATATGTGTGATATCTCTGAAGATGGTTGCCCTTGATTGAATCCATTCATAGCAACCACTTATATGAGGTATTGCACATGTACCCAGAACTCTGCCAAGTGTATGTTCTATTTTAAAGAAGGAGAAGCCCAGGTTCAAAGAACTATTTAGAGCTGCATATGCTAGAGGTGGTTGCTTTTGAGATGCTATTGAAGCGCATACCATAGAACTGTTCTTAGTGTAAGGGATGCTACAGATAATTATCTGTTAGTGATATGATGTTCCAGGTCTGTGGTTAATTGGGAAGCTATCCGTGACTCTGGAGCAGAACCCAAGGCCAGTGCCTGTTGAACCCATGTTCCCACATTCCATGGAGCATTGGTGCAAAAAGACTGGGTGGCCTGCTTCTGCTATTAGATTGCCAAAGTGTCTTCCTTCAAACTGAGTCCTTTTCCAGAAGTGGTTGTTGGAGGCCTGAGGATGGAGCCTGTGGGGAAATACTGCATGGTTCCATCTTGCTGTCAGCTTTAGAATTTAGTAAAGTTGGATGTCTGACAGAACGTGGCCCCAGGTCTGCTGTGCTTTGCTTTCACATAACAAAGCACTTGGGACTACAGCTGTGATGTGAGGAAGATGACTAGAGTTGCCTTCTCCCCAGTTAGGGGGCCTCATTTGCAGGGCCTAGTGCAAACAAAATTGCAAGCTCCTGTACAAAGATTATAAATGCCAAGACAGTCAGGGCAGAGCATGAAACTCCATATGAGGCAGAGGCACTGTGACTTCACAGGGCATGTCATGAGGCTTCTTTGCTACTATTGTATGACCATATTTGAATAGGTCTCCCTCCAGCTGGCCTGCTGGCCTGGTTAAATGAGCAGTGACCACTCTGCCCATCAGCAAGGAACTGCTGTGAGCTCTAGACTCTGTAGAGGCTGCCTTCAACTAGGAAACAATACCTGACCTAAGGGAAGGATCACATCACAGACTAAACCGAAAATAAGTAGTCCAAATAACTGAACCCTTGCCAGAGTTCCTCCATGCCATATGTTGCCATAGCTTCCAGAAACCATTAATACCTGTTTAAAACCCAAAGATAAGGGGTTTGTGTTTGGGACAGGAGCACGAGCAAAGGAGTTGCTCTGTCTACCTGGGAGCTGCTGGGGAAAATGGGGTGACAGAGATGCTGCCTGCTCGTGAGAAAGCTACAGAGAACAGTGCACTGCACTGCCCATTGTGGAAGCTGTAAGAGGCCGATGGTCCTTTGAAATAGGGTGGTCTAAATTGAGTTGTGCTGTCGGTATACAGAATATGGCTGGATTTTAGATTTTGAAAAGAGAAGGCAAAATGTCTCTTTTTGTATTGATTACATAATTGAAGTGATAGTATTTTATGTGCTAGGTTAAACAAAATACCTTGCTAAAGTTAATTTTACCTCCTTCTTGAGGTACTAGCTTTTTAAAATTCTGGGCCTAGCCCTTGCACGACAGGTCACTCTCCCTCTTGAGCCACACCTCAACCCTGTTTTGCTTTAAGTTATTTTTCTGATAGAGTCTCACATGTTTGCTGGCTCCAGACCATGATCCTCCTACCTAGCTGGGATCACAGATGCATGCCACCACAGCTGGCTTATTTTGTTGAGATAAGGGATCACATTAACTTTTTGTCTAGACTGTCTTGAAGTGGGATCTTCCTGATATCTGCCTTCTAGCTGGAGTTACAGGTATGAGATGCTGTGCCTGACTCAGCTCTTTTTAATGTGATTACTGGGAAATATTAAACTCCATCTATAGCTCACTTTACAGCCCGGTTGCATCTGCTACTCTAAACTTTAACAAAAGTACAGACATGATCCTACTCACTTACCCATAGATACACCCTCCACTCCTACCCCCATATAACATGATGCACACACTCCCAACAGGCTCAGAGAAGCTAGCAGCACCCACTCCTGGGCCTGGGTGAAACCTTGGTGGAGAGGACAAAGCCAGAAGGGAACGTGGGGAGGGGCATGTGCAGACCTTGAGGCTAATGGAGTGGAACATGGGTTTCTTTGAGCACTAGGGAACTATCGACTGCTTTCTACCAGCACGGTGACATATGCATGGAACACTGGGGAGAGATTTGTTGGGTGAAGAGGCAGAGAAGGCAAGCAGTGAATACAGATCAGGAAATCAGGAGTCCATTGCTGCTTTCTTAAATCATGTTCAGACAAGCCAATGTAGGTGGATGAAAGCTTTCTCCAAAAACTGAGGGGAACACTTGAATGCATCCTTCTCCCTCTACTGACCGTATAATTACAGCAGACAAGCAGCTGCTGACTCAGCCAGGCCCTGGTTCTTACCTGGGTCCAGATTAGACCTGAACATCTCTATTCTTAACTAGCCGCTTTTCTGCTCCCCCAAGACTCTTTCCCATCAGTCACATTCCTGGACAAAGGAGTCTTGGAAGGTATTTGCATAAAACTTCCTGAACAGCAATAGTGAAAAAAGCCTTTTATTTGAATACCATTCTTTTTCATTTTTTTTTGGTTTTTGTTTTCTTGGGTTTTTTGTTTGTTTGTTTGTTTTGGTCCGGTTGTGGGGCCTGAACTCTGGGCATGAGCAGTGTCCCTCAGCTCTTCAGCTCAAGGCTTAGCGCTCTACCATGTGAGCCACAGGACTATTTCCGGCTTTTTTCTTTTTGCTTATGTGGTGCTGAGGAATCAAACCCAGGGCCTCATGCATGCAAGGCAAGCGCTCTACCACTGAGCCACCTTCCCAGCCCCCCCTTTTTTTAAAAAAAAAAAGATTTCAAGAAGTATTTTGTAACTCTTTTCTGGAAGGCAGCTGGCCCTCAGCCTGTCTTAGCACACTGCCTGTGGTTTAAAAGTACACAAGTGCATTGTGACAAGAAGCATTTGCTGGCAGATTGTGGGTGGTCTGGGAAAAGCTGGCAGGGAAGGTCGGTAGCAAGGCCATGCCTTTTGGTCACATTTGGTTGATATACAATCTGGTGAGCACCAAGAAACTCAGCTGTTGTGTTTCTCTTGAGAATGGAGGCTATGTTTGGAGGGCCAACACTTTTCTTTTGGTTTTAAATTGAAACCCAGGTATTTGTAGACTAAAGGGTACCCCTCCTCCCCATCTCTAACCTAAACTACCACCAAAAATGTAAATAAAATGTTTAAAGGATTTGATTGATCATTTTTAATCTCAGATATTATTCCAGGAAGGAACCAGCTAGCTGACCTTGTTTATAGTGCAGAAGAAATGTTAACAGCTGATTTATAGCCAGGCACTGATGGCTCACACCTCTAATCCTAGCTACTCAGGAAGCTGAAATGTAAGAATCATAGTTCAAAATGAGCCTGGGCAGGAAATACTGTAAGACTGTTATTTCCAGTTAACCACTGAAAAGCCAGAAGTGGAGCTGTGGCTCAAGCGGTAGAGCACCGGCCTTGAGCAGAAAAGCTTAAAGGACAGCACCCAGGCCTTGGGTTCAGGATTCAGGGAGGGAAAAAAAAAGTTGATTAAGTGACTTATGATCCAGCTTCTGAGGACCTGTTCCTTTAACCTGAAGCATGTTGCATTTCTGGTTCAATGGGCTTTCTGTCTGTCTTTTTCTTTTCCTTTTCTTTAAAAAAAAAAAACGATTTGTGTGTTTTGTTTTGTTGTTTTCTCAGGGCGAACCTTTCCAACACATCCATACTTCTCTGCCCAGCTTGGAGCAGGGCAGCTGTCGCTTTACAACATTCTGAAGGCCTACTCACTTCTGGACCAGGAAGTAGGATACTGCCAAGGTCTCAGCTTTGTGGCTGGCATTTTGCTTCTTCATATGAGTGAGGAAGAGGCATTTAAAATGCTCAAGTTTCTGATGTTTGACATGGGACTACGAAAACAGTATCGGCCAGACATGATAATTTTACAGGTATCAAGCATTCCTATATCTTCAATAAGTATATGGATGATATCCCTCTTCCCTTTATTATCTAAGGAGCTTTCTAGAAGTAGTTACACTGTGATAGGCTATGTTGCTCATAGGCTTTGTACTAAGCATTATTCCATGAGCTTCATATGTACTTTTCTGCATTATGCCCTGCAGGATGACACTATTGATTGGCTCAGCTTCTAGAGTGAAGAACCAGAATGTGTAATTGGACTAATCACATATTTAGCAAATGGAGGAGCTAGAATTTAAACCCAAGCTAATCTGGTTCCAGAGACCTTATTCTTGCACCCTTCATTAACCATCAAGCAGTTTGAACTCTGCGTCCCATCCTGTCACCTGCTACTTTTTCAGCCAGGGATCCTCACCCTCACTGCCCTGCCTGCTCTCCTGTCATGCAGGGCTCAGTTCAGTTCTCACATCCTAGGAGAAGCTCTTACTTAACCCCCAAGCACACAGTATTGTGTTATATTGTCTCCCTTATCTGGCATAACACATTCCCTGGCAGAAACTATCCTTTTTGTTTACTTATCTACCTATTTATTTTCCAATTTTTCTTAGTAAATAAAGTTTGTGAGAGGAAGACCTAACTAGTCTTGGAGCTGTATCTGCAGTTTATAGACAGTGACTGGGATGAAATAGACAGTATTTATTGAATGAATGAATCGGTCAAAAGAAAATGAAACAGAGCAGCATGTGCCAGTGCTGTTCCCACTGCTTTGGAGGGGTGAGGAGAGCTATGGGTCTTGCTTTGAGAATATTTCTCAACATTGCTTAGACTGTGAGTGCATGCATCCAGATGTTCATTTCCTAGCACAATTCTTCTGTTTCAGAGCTTTAGAAAGTACCGTTAGAGCCAAGGGCTCTTTTGGAGGTGGAGGGAAACAATACATTATGCAATTAAAAATCCTTTTCCTCAACTGGTGACTCTGAACCACATGAACATGAATCATAGCAGGAAATCTTTAACTGGTGCTAGTAGTTCTTGCCTATAATTCTAGCTACACAGGGGACTGAGATCTGAGGATCATGATTTGAAGCTAGCCTGAGCAGGAAGGTCCATGAGACTTTTTTTTTCCTAGTTAGCCAGCAAAAAAGCCAGAAGTAGTATGACTCAAGTGGTAAGAGAGACAACCTTGAGTGAAAAAGCCAAGCAAGAGTACAAGGCCCTGAGTTGAAGGCCCTTCAGTGCCAGCACACATGCATGCATGCATACACAGAATAGGAAACCTTTTTGTCCACTGGATGTTTTGTCCTATACAGGACTTTCCACATGCTGTTGGGCTCTTTCTGCATTCCCATCTTTGACTTTACTGTGGGGCAGCTGTCAACAGAGAGTAATGTTTGAATTGTATATAATTTAGCTTAGCACACAAATCGTTTCGGGCCTTGGTTGATTAGACTTTTTTGGATACAGAAGAGCCACAGCTGGTAATTAAGAGGATTTATATTTAGGCAACTGAAAACAGATTTAATTTTTCCAAGTTTGGGCTGGACATCTCTTTGGAGAATCAGTCAGACTTCAGTCCTCTTTAGGTTGCTTCCTTAGTCCCAAGCCATGGGACTGCTCAAATCTGGGTTGGCTTGATGAACTCTGTGAGTCAGAGGGTCCTAGGAATGGAGTGAACTTCCTGTCAGATCCAGATGATTCTCTGAAGAAGCAACCCTTGATGTTGATTTAACTTTAGCTGGAAAAAGCCATTTTATTCATAGACAAAACCTTCTTGTTTTACCTTGCCAAGATACACACATTTTTTATGTAGACCTGAACAAATTATTCTTGTCTTGCTGTGAGTGGCTTTGGGAGATACTGGGAACTGGCTACATGGACAATTGATATATTGTCTAGAATTGTGATATGCACTCAATTTACTCATCTCAGAGGCTGTTTGTTTCAAATTCCCCTGGGTTTGAATTTTACTGAGAATGTATCTATAAGAAAATTTTTGAAATTTTTGCACAAAGGAGATAGTTAGCCAAGGAAAACAAGGGGACATAGGAAAGAACTGGTAGAAGACCCAGCATGTGTGTTTGGGGCCTACTTCACCCAGTGCCTCATGAAGAGTTTGCTAGATGAATTAAAAATAGCTGACATCCATGGATACCACAAGCCCATTCACATCACTAATAATTCCTTCACACATCCTAAGAAGGATGAGCAAGTTTGCATGTGGAAAAGGAACCTAATTCTCTGTCCCTGCAGATCCAGATGTACCAGCTCTCAAGGCTTCTTCATGATTACCACAGAGACCTCTACAATCACCTGGAGGAGCACGAGATCGGCCCCAGCCTCTATGCTGCACCCTGGTTTCTCACTGTATTTGCCTCGCAGTTCCCATTGGGATTTGTAGCCAGAGTCTTTGGTGAGCTTCCTACGTGTGTCTGTCAGAACCAGCATTCTCCTGTCAGTGGCAGCACTTATTCTCACTCAGTAGTGGCTCTACTTACTTTTGAAACTGTGTCTCTCACAAAGATGAGATACTGTTTGCTAGTCTGGGTTTAGTCAGCATTGGTGTGAGGACTTTGAAGCACTGTTTACCGTGGTAATCCTGGAGCTCCCATAGACGTTTAGGTCAGATACCCTCAGCACAAGGTCCTCCCAATACCAGATCTTTGGGCTATTTGGCCAAGCATCTAGAGGTGTAATTTTAATGACTCACCTTCCCTCCTCAACCCCTCTGTCTTGTGACTTTGCTCACAGTTAGCATCTTACAACTTTTCAGCCTGTGGCTTCCAGACCATTACCTTTCTGAGATTTCCTTTATATCCTCTCCCCTTTTTCTTCTTTCCCTGTCCTTAGCTCTTTGTTTTCTCTTCTGTCACTCCCTGATTCACCCATGTCAGGGCTTTGAGTGACACCTCTTTGTGGGTGACTCTCTGTCCTGACACCTGTCATATGTTCACATTTCCAGATATCTCAGCTACTTCCACTTCTGTGCCCCACTGTAATTTTAGATTGTTCATATACTAATCCATCGTCTTTTTTTCTTCCCTTCCTTCCTTCCTTCCTTCCTTCCTTCCTTCCTTCCTTCCTTCCTTCCTTCCTTCCTTCCTTCCTTCCTTCCTTCCTTCCTTCCTTCCTTCCTTCCTTCCTTTCTTTTTGTCTTGTCAGTCATGGGGCTTGAACTCTGGGCCTGGGTGCTATCCTTCAGCTCAAGGTGAGTGCTCTGCCACTTGAGCCACAGCCCACTTTCGGTTTTCTGGTGGTTTATTGGAGATAAGAGTCTCACGGACTTTCCTGACCAGGCTGGCTTTAAACCGTGATCCTCAGATCTCAGCCTCCTGAGTAGCTAGGATTAAGGCATGAATGACCAACACCCGGCCATCTTCTTTTCTTGATTTGTTCTTTGAGACCATATATGTTCACATCAGTTCTCAAAACTGTTTTAGAGGTGAAAGCAGCTACCCAGTGAACTACCATAAGCACAATCCTTTCTTGTATGATTTGTTTTCCCTACTTGAAAACAAAAGTCTTCTTTTTGCTTGACAACTGGAGTTCTTTTTACATTTTACTGTGAGGGAGGAAGATGCTTAAACTTAGTAATTATCCACATCAGGTACTATTAATGTCATATATGGGGAGTTATTTGTTAGCTTAAAACCATATAATTGGGATATGCTTCTGGAATCAGCCTATTAAAACACATCAAGTGTATATTGTTTTAGAAATTCTTTCGCTTAGTCTATCCCAACCTTCAAGACATAAAAATCGCAGATGGTTCCACTGAAAAGATGAGTTCTTAAAAACCATTTCTACATATAGCATCTTGACTTAACTCTAACTTTATGATGCTAGACAGCTTGATTTTACATTTAGGAGCTTATCATTCATTCAGGCTTTATTTCCTGGGGCCCATTTCACTACAAACCTTTAAGCCTGGATCAGATCAACCTTTTGTTGATGATTCCCTATTTTATACATAAGTAAAAGATTCTCAACTTGCTTGCATCAGCATATCTCACAAATTAATAAGTATGTTACATCAAATTTAGAATGTGCTACTTGAAGAGGCAACTGTCAACTGTGTGTGTGTGTGTGTGTGTGTGTGTGTGTGTGTGTGTCAATCACATCTGGTAATGACACTTGGCTGAATATCAGTTCTCTAGAGCCACAGGAAGATGGCCATCTCCTGTATATTTATAGTTAGGGAAGAAGAGAACCTGAAATAAATTATTCTGTTTACCTTATAACTGTATGTGCCTTGAGGGGAAAAAATCTGAAAAATGGGGAAGCTGGCACAGTCTTGTTGGAGGAAGAGGCTGAACTCCTGAGGTCTTTCTTTAGGATGTTCTGCCAAGGAGATGAAGATGAGATGACATAAAACTAAAGGTTTGGCACAAATCCAGAAGCCACCTGCAGTAGTGAAGGCTTCAGAGGGATCTTAAGATAAAAATACACTTGGAAAGCCAGACAAGTCTGATGGCCAGGAAACTGTCCAGTTGTTCCAGACAGCAGTGTGGGGCCTCCACAATGTGAAGACCACAGCCTCCCAGGAGAAAGGGATAGATAGGGAGGGAAGGATTGTTTAAAATAAATGTGTCTAGGAAAGAGACTCTGTGAGATCACAGAGGAAAATCACTTTGTCAAGTAGAGCCCAATACCCCATGACACACTAACAAGAATGCTGAGATATCTTCAAGGAAAAGTAGTTACATTGCTCTCAAGCAAGCTGCAAAGTGTAACTTTCCAACTGATGGAATCAGTAAAACTTAAGGTTTTCTCAACTTCCTGCTGGTTTCTGGGTGTTCTGAAAATTCAGGGAAGGAAGAAAAGTGGCAAGAAGAAAGCTCCGCTGAGAGGAAGCAGATTGCTGCACTGGGAGCTGGGATGCCCAGTGATGTAGTCTCTACTTTCAAAAGCAATTAGGATTTTTTTTATTATTTTAAAATTATGCTTAGCTGGGGACTAATAGCTCATGTATGTAATCCTAGTTACTTAAAAGGCTGAGATCTGAGGATTGAAGTTCAAAGCCAGCCTGGGCAGGAAAGTCCATGAGACTTATTTCCAGTTAGCCAGCAGAAGGTCAGTGGAACTGTGGCCCAAGTAGTAGAGCGCCAGTCTTGGAGAAAAAATTCAGACAGCACTCAGGCCCTGAGTTCAAGCCCTATTTCTGGGTGCATGCACGTATGCACGTGAACACACACACACAATTTATGCTTAATTTGTACTAATTCTAGAGAGAAAGGTATTGTTTAATACTGAACACACCCCCGAGTGTGTTCAGTTAAGTTTGGGAACCCCTACCTCCCAGTTTAAGCTTTAAAGGGTTGCTCCTTCACCCTTCCATTTCTTTTCTTCAGTAAGTCCTTAAAACTTCCCTAGTCCAACAGAAACTTAAGGGGCTGACATGGATACAGAGAATGGCAGGCATGGTGAAGCAGCGTTACCCCCACAGAACTTCCCAGCCTGTCTGTAGAAAGCAGCACAACTCTATAAAGGGTGCCTTTTTGTCCTAAAAGTAGGTGGCCCTGTGGGGATCAGACCATACCTAGATATGTTTGCATCTCTGCAGTTTCTTCTTTGCACTCTATTCATAGTTTAACCCCAAGTGAAAGCTATTGGTACACTGAAATTCAGCATACTTGTGTATAGACTTTTTACAGTTTTTAAAGAACTTTTAATTTCATACTTTATTTCAAATCAGAGGATACAGACTTTTTCTCTTACTCTGTCTTCCATTATGATGCTGCATCTGTGCAAATCTTTTGGTTTTACTCATAATATCATGCGTTTGGGTAACTCCCCTAAAATGCAGAGCATTGCTAGAAAAACCCAACTAAAAAAATCTTTTTCTCTTTTTCAATTTAAGCTTGGAACTATGCTTAAGTTTAACTCATTTTCAGAGTGGAAATTTTTGTATCTGTATCTGTGATGAAACCTAAGCAGATGTTTATCTGTTATTTTTGTTATTTGCAGTATTGTCTTGACAACCCTATCTGAAATAGCAGGCTCTTAAACAGGAAATAAAATTTTCAGTTTGGAGTTCGGTTTTCCTCCCTCCTGCTCTGAGGAAAAGGAAACAGAATGGCATTTTGTCCTACTCTGCTATGATTTAACTCTTCACATCTCTGTTTTCCAGATATGATCTTCCTTCAGGGATCAGAAGTCATATTTAAAGTGGCTTTAAGTCTTCTGGGTAGCCATAAGCCCTTGATTCTACAGCATGAAAACCTAGAGACCATAGTGGACTTTATAAAAAACACACTACCCAACCTGGGCTTGGTACAAATGGAGAAGACCATCAACCAGGTATGATTGGGTCCAGACCTTGCAAATGGCTAAGGGCTTTTCAGAACTTAGGTTTTTTCTGAGCAGGAGCTGTTTCCTACCACTCTGGTGTTCTGATCAGCATCTTTCATGGTGCCTGGAAGGCAGGAGGCACAACACAAATAAGCGTTGAATGATTAAAGGTATTGACTTGAGTGTGAATGTTGTGGTTAGAATGGTAAAGACACACCAGAAAACTGGGTGGCGATGCTATAGTTGAGATAAGCATTGTTGTGTTGCATTTGTTTGGTCTGCTGAAACACATATATTTCTAAAATGTAGGCTTTTGTAGAATGAGGGTTTTTAATTTTTCTGCTGAGTGGTATTAGTTAAAATGTACTGAAAATAAATAGAATTGTGACAGGCAGCATATATTCTATGAATTTGTTCTGTTATTTTTTTAATTTACTTATGGGTTTGGGTTTTCTTTTCTTTTTTCCCCTGAATGCCATTCCACTTGTGAGGTTTCTAGCATCCCTCATTTTCATATACAGTAGAGCCATTACTCTGAAATGCTAGAAGTTGAGAGGTAGATTTAGCTGGAAATTACTAGACCAGATGGCAAATGGTTTGAATCAGGCACAGGAGCAGATTTCAATTCTTCCTAAGGAAGAATCTTCCAGTAATAACTATTGATGATGATGGACTGAGCTGCTTATGGTCAGGGGAGGGGTAGATTATATATATTATAAAAGGATTTGTTAGATTGGTTTACATGACCAGAGACTTGGATAGCCCGTACTATGGCCTACTATGTAAGATAGAGAGCCAGAGAACCCCATAGCTGCTCAGTCCAAGAAACTGGAAGCCTCTGGACAAGGAAAACCATCATTTAGCCCAGACCCAGACTGCAGGCCGGTGACCCCCCACTGGAGAGTTGCTTTTTAGAAAGGCAAAAGCAACTGGAGTCTGCCAGCAGATGTGATGGCACAATAGATGTGCCTGCTTGGGATGAATGAAACTTGCGAGCACTGGCTGGCACTTCCTTGTCTCTTTTGTTCCACTTGGGCCCCCTAGCCTAATGGACGGTATGCCCCATATTCAGACAAGTCTTTCTCCCTCAGTTGCTATTCTGTATGTCAATCATATCTCTGAACACCCTCACAGACAACCCAGCAGTGTGCTTTAACAATTCCTAGGCATCTCTCGATCCAATTAAGTTTATAGTCAGAATTAAGCATCATACTAAGAATGTACTAGAAGAGGTTTCATCAGCAGTTGGTCCTCTCTTAAGCCTAGAATCCATACCACCACACATTACGAAAACATAGAATAAATGAGTAAAATTGCAACAATGAGACGTACAAGTCGTTATGTAGAAAAACGAACTTTACAACTTTGGCTGAGGGGTGGGGGGAGAGGGAGGATGGGAAGGGGAAACAAAGGAGGAGGCAACAATGCTTGATAAGAAATGTACTCATTATCTTGCCCATGCAATTGTAACCCCTCTGTGTGATATTTTCACAATAAAAAAAAAGTTTTAAAAAAAGAATAAAGGGGTAAAAATGAACAGCCAACTAGTCTTTATTCTTTAGTCTTTATTCTGAAGATCTCTGGTAATCCAGGATAGTAGTAGATTCCAGCAGAATGCATCCAGATACAATGTTTGTGATTTTCATTGGCTGTTCTACCAGGGTATTAAGTTCAGAAAAAGGCCCATGTTTGGCCTGGTTTTATATCAGATTATTAGTTTGGATCTTTACATACTACATTTGCCAGTATGAAAGAGTGCTCTCCTCTGCACTTTACTTAACTGATGGGCTCTGTATCTCTGCATTTAATTACTTACCTGGCATGATCCTTTCCATGTGAATAACGTTGTCTAGTAGAGTCCTTAATTTTGGCCAAGTTGCATGACCTCATGCAATTGTAAGGGCATTCTTGTGATTAATTAGCTAGAAGATAGTCTGCTATGAAGGGCAGGATAGGGGATCAAGACTCATATCACTTCAAAGTGCTTTAGCAGTTCTAAGAGCTTTGGAGTCATTAAGACCTATGTCTTGCCTCTTGCCACTGAATTCTTTCCCCTTTAGACTCTCAAATTTCTGTGTTTACTCTGTGTGTGTGTGTGTGTGTGTGCGTGCGTGTGTGTGTGTGTGTGTGTGTGTGTGTGTGTGTGTGTGTGTGTGTCCCTTCGCATTTTTGCTCAAAGCTGATGATTTACCACTTAAGCCACTTCCAGATTTTTGGTTGTTAATTGGTGGTAAGAGTCTCATGGACTTTCTTGTCCAGATTGGCTTCGAACCACAATCCTCAGATCTCAACTTCCTGAGTAGCTAGGATTACAGGCCTGAGCCACTGGCACTTACAATGATGTATTTTCAGTCTTTTATTCCCTTCTTAGGGCTTTTGCTGTATATACTTAGATTTTGTAAATTCTGAGGCAAACCTAGAGAACTTTTGGTTACGTAGACCAGATGGACTTCCTGATGCCCTGATTCAGAGACAGCTGTCCCTGCCAGCATTCAATTTACCTCCTCGTATGTATCAGGTTGGAAGTATAGAAATGGACCCATCATGGGAAGAGAACAGTTGTATGTACATGTCCTCGATGTTTAAGCAACTGTTTTTGAACTTGGTATTCTGTTTGACCTCAGTATTCCACTGGCTCCTCTAACAATTCTGGGACATGATATTCCAATCCCCATCTGAATGAGTAGGAGACCAAGCATGTCCAACATTATATATGTAAAAGCAAAACCTGTGGGAATGAGTCTACAATGTACCTGTGCTGCTGTTGGAGCCAAGGGAGTTGAGTCTGGCTAGGCCTAGAATGAACTCAATCAGGTTTAGTCAGTATATTGTATAAAGGCCAGACAGAATGTATTTCAGGCTTTGCAGCTTGTAAAATATTGGTTGCAGCTATCCAGTTCTGCATTTGCAATGTAGAACTATAGACATAAAAATATATACAAAAAAGAACTATAGACAACATATAAAGGGATGAAATAATCCATGTCATAATAATACTTTATTTTAAAAACTAGGCTGTAGGAAGAATTCATCTATAGGCTATAGTTTGCTGATCCTGAGCTATAAGATTGTCACACACACACACACACACACACACACACACGAGAGGCACATGATACAACAGAGCAGTTCCAGCTAGCACACACACACAAAAACTACATCCCAAGATTTTATTCCAGTGACAGTCTTGATAAAAAATAAATAAATAAAACTTCAGGCACCTGTCAGACCTTCTCCCCATCTGCATTCGGATCTGGAACTTGACCATGTAAAGCCTGCTGACCTGCTCCCCTCAAGAGGGTGAGTAAGTCCAAGAGCCAAGAGCTTCTTGTCTTTGGGAACCCTCAGGCCTGAGTTAGGAGGCCCACATAGTGGAAGTGGTGGATGCATTCATGGCAGCTGACAGGGCATTAGCTTGTGTGTTGACATGCTGCAGTCTTAAGAATGGAGTGTAGGCAGTCCTTTGTGACATCCATGGCCCCATTTCATTAAATGGCATCCCTGTAAATGGTTTCAATTTGAGCATCTGGGACATAGCCTTGCTCCCAGATGGAGGGAATAGCTCAGTATGACAGGATGGGAACAGCCTCAGAAGCTAGTAATGTCTAGGAGAGAAGACCTAAGGCAGAAGTCTTTGAAGCCTCAGAGTAACCTGATCCTCACTGAGGAAAGAGCTGGGTATACGGAAACAGGAAGAAGGGGACTCTGAGAATGATTAATACCAGGGGAAGGTTGGTGTTGTAGTCTTGTCCCAGTGAGAGCCTGATGACTGAATCCTCAGTTCAGCTGATTGGCAGGACAGGTTGGAGGGTGGCTTTGGGAGGCTGAGCCAGTAACATCCTTTAGGTCTGTTCACTGTGATATGTAGAAACTTGTTGGAATGGCAGGATTTGGGACCCCACACCAGACCTACTCGGATCCCCAAAAGATTCCCATACATAGCCCATTTGAAAGTTCTGCTGTGGGCAACTTTGGTGAAGTATACCGGCCCAGTTGTACTTGAGCTTGTTGGATGGAAACCTGAGACTTACCCAGTTAACTGTTGAGAATAGAGTGCAACTTCCAGGCAGCCTCTTCAGCTCTTCGGGGAACCCTCACTCTTGGGCAGTTAGCACTGTTGAAAAAAGAGTACTTTTGTAAGAAGACAATTGGTGCCACACCAAGACGATGGGATATAGCTAGAAGTATTTCACTGGCATTGTTCACAGTTGCTTACATGTGGTGATAATAAAGAGCAGACCAACTTTTAGTCAGCTTATCATTGTTGTTAAACTTACTACAGTTGGTGTACCCCTTTTGCTGACACCCAGGCAGACTGCTCACCCTGTCAACCCTGGTGTGCCACTGAAACTAGCAGATTGGGGACCAGGATCTGGGAATTCGGAAGGTGAAACATATGTAACTAGTACTACAAGAACTTAGAGTAAGTGGCTTCATTTTACAGTATCTACAGACTACAAAGACAAATACTGAGTCTTCACAGCAAATGAGCCAAGAACATCAACACACAACTCACTGAAAAGGAGAGCCAGCTAACATACATATCTGGTAAAATATTTAGCTTTATGCATAGTTCAGATAGATGGATGTATAACATACCATGATTTACCTACTAAGTTAACGGACTGATACTTTTTAAATGCCCATGCACTATGCCAGAAGTAGACTATAGCCAGCACATTGGAATATGTTAATGACATCCATTGTACTTTGTCCCATGTGGGAAGCAGTTAGGCAATTTGAACTACAGCCAATAAAATACATTCTTTTGACCCAATAATCCCAGTTCTTGCAATGTATTGTTAGGAACTCATCCAAAGTATAGAAGTTGCCATATATCTAACAATACTCTGTTAGAATTGTCATCCAAGACAACAAATATTTGACAGATGTCCAAAACCTGAGGAGGACCAGATGATATGGCTGTGGTATGTCAAGTTGATAGAATGCCATATACATTTGTGGTTATGAAGAACATATAGCAACTGAAAAAAAATAGGTTATCTTTTTACAAGTAATAAAACATACTGATAGTAATAAAGATGATAGGAAATATAAGATAAAATTGTATTGGTAATTTTGTTTTTTATGCTTCCTATAATGTAGCTACAGTAACAAAGAAAATGAATGGTTCTGTTTGTCAAAGCATTGAACATAGGGAAATGGGTAATTCCTACTTTGCCAAGTTAGGTCCAGCCACTCACCCCCATATGCCAAATAAACATGATGACTGGCAGAGAAAAGAGGATTATTAGATGCAGTCATGGAAAGACAGCACTTAAGGACATTTTCAGACATTAGCTTCATGTTGAATAGGAAGAATTAGAGGCAGTGAGCAAGAAAGATATGTGTAGTTAGAACAGCTCCAAATTACAGGTTAGTTCAGTTCAGTTAGTTCAGTTTTTGCCCTTCTAGGAGTTCTGTTGAAGTTAATGCTTTATTACTGGAACAGATCAGGAAAAAGTGGTCTCCTCAATTTTTGGCTTTAATGTTTGCTTAAAGATGATAAGAAGAGGACAATGCTTGTTTGAGGGGCAGTTTGCCTTCCACATAAGATAAGATTGCTTATCTGTGATTCTGGTCCTTTTTGGAGCCCATGGTGATTACAGAGCAGAAAATAGCTCAGATCAAAGGGCACAGATTCAAAGTTGGGGGACTTTTAGCTAGTTCACAGGACCTAGAAAAAACATCTTTCAAGCTGTGTGACAGCCAGAGATGTACTTGTGCAAGAAATGGACCACACCTAGTTGTGTGGGCTGTTTTCCCACAGCACCATGTTTTTAATAGTCTTTTCTCTTCATTGATTGTGCTTTGCTCAGATTCCATAGGACTGAGGAAGAGGCAGAAAGAGAAAGATGAGGCAGTTAGGGAGAAAGACACAGCAGCCCTGTGGAAATAACACCCCATTCTCTTCCTAAAGACCTTGGGAAACAAAGACAGTGACTCTGATGGAAGCAAAGCCCTGGAGCAGACCCAAGCAGGGGAGAGGCACCCCTTAGGATGAGGTGGACAGTGACCAGACAGATTGCAGAACAGCTGAAACTCACCCAAAGGGCTATAAAATGATCCCCATGAGCACTGCAGTTGGACTACCAATTTCTGGGACCTATTTCTCACTCTCGTACCTCAATATGTCTGTACTCTTCCTTTTCCTCCTTGCTAGGGAAGCTGGTGGACAGGACTGATTGCAAGCATATACTAATCCACTGGTAGCCAAGAGACCATTTTCATTTCCTTGGTGCCTTACTCTCACTTTGCCTCTGTCCTCACTTTCCCATCCTCATAATTCTTTATTTGGTGGAGAAAAAAGGGACCCAAGATCCCTAGACAGGATTAGGCCTTACTCTCTTCCTGCTCTTTCTCTAAGAACTGGCACAGTGAGTCACTTGTGCTCACTAAGTGTGCAAGGACGAGGCCCCTCCTACCACCCTTCCTTTTTCTATTTCTTGCCCAAGTCATTGGCCTAAACTTTTACCATCACCTATCCAGTGGACTGTTGGGTTTCAGATCTGGGGCATAACTGCAAAATCAGGGCTGTGTTTTGCCATCAGAAGATAACGATGAAGTTAAACCAGGATGAATGTGCCTTAGGGTGGTTCCTAGGGATTGGCGAGGTCAGGAAGGGTGTAGCCCTTGGTTGCAGCTGAGAACTATTAACCTTAGCTGGTCATTAGTCTGCATAATAGGCCAGAGGCTTTGTTCCCAGGTTTCCCAGGTTAGGAAATTGTCTAAAAATAAATCTTGGTGGATGAAAGGAAGTAATCATGTGTATAACACTTGTTCTGTGTGGTATTTTTAGTTACAGTGCCACAACAGACTCTGGTTTCAGGTTTGTGGGGTTTGCTCTGTTCACACTGTTCATATGTTCCATGATGTGGCATCCATTGTAGTTCTGAGGCACAAAGTTGAAATGTGGGAGGGGTCTGTGACAGAGGAGTAGAACCAGATCTCTTTGCTAAGGGAGCTTGCCAGGCATGTGCTAGAACCTTCTGTGAGTTGTCCCATTTTATCTTCAGCTTGATGCCGGGAGGCAGTAGTGATTAGCCTCATATTTGTGGCCAGGAACTGAAGCCAGAGAAGTTAAAGGACTTACTTGCTCAAGGTCATTCAGAGAATTGCCAGTGGAGCCCCAGATTCATGGCTGACTCAAAACCTGAGCGTTCGTAACCTGGACTGACATGGAGATGATAATTCCGGCTGACTTCATGGTTATTCTGAAGGAACAAAAATAAAAATAAATCAGTTCAGTATGGTAAATTATTCTCTATCACCGCCCTTCCCTCCTCATGCCATATATTTTAATTTATAGGCATGGAATTACTTTTGAGCATACTTAGTATTAATCACTGAATTATAAATGAAAATGAGAAATAAGAAAATTCATCCTGAAAGCTCCAGCCCAGAAGACCATGCAGACATCAAATCACATACAGCAAAAGTTTATTGTCAGCAAGCTGACAAGGCTTTGCCTTTCGGGCTGGGCGCAATGTTTGTCTTTGTACAAAGAGGGTATCTTTATGGGGCCAAGAGCTAGGGATGGAAAATCCCACTAGGAACAGGGAATTCTCTGCAGTTGTAGCTGGGATCAAATATAGCACTTAGCCAGGGTGAGGTTTCCTGATTGCAACAGTTACAGTTAGGTCTGGGCAGAAGGCATTCCACTCCTGCAGCTGAAGGGTATCAGGTGGGGGGGTGGGGGGGGTGAGGCAGGGAAGACAGTTGCAGTCAGGTCTGGTCTGGTCTGGTCTGGTCTGGTCACCTGATTTCAGGGTGAGAGGGCTGAAGACCCAAGATGGAGGTTGTTAAATTAAAATGGAAGGGGACATACTAATACATTCCAACAAAGAGAAAGTAAAATAAGGTTGTTGGAAATGATGAGAAAGTGAATGTGCTTTTGAGAGTTGATGCTCAGGAAGGTGGGCTAATGTAAATGCTCCCAGGTACCATGAGGGGCAGCTCATTTTCTACTGACTTTTTTTTTTATATTGGTGTTCATTTCATAAGAAAAGGCAGCAGAGAGGTGGATTTTGCTCTTTTGAAGTCTAATTCCGTTCTCTGAACTCTCTTCTGGCCTTGAATTCTAGGAGCCATCAGATCCATGTTGGGGCTCTCTCCTGCAGAGCCAAGGGGCTGGGAATGCTCAGAACTGCACTGTATCTGTCTCCTGATTCCCTCTCATGCCCTGCCTCACTCAGCCCTGCAGCTTACTCACTAGGAGAAAGTAGAGTCACTGTGCATTTTGGGGTTGTGTTTCACATGAGCGGTTTGGTCATCTCTGTTGCCATTATGGGAAGGGAGACAACTAGGCATTGTTTTGTATTCACTCAGCCGTGTGGGTGACATTTGGGTTTGGCTCATTTCTGCAAATCCCTGTGCAAAGAGGAGGTTTTATTAAGCAGTTCCATTACTTAGCTGTTCTTGCAACTCTGAAAACCCAGCTGATTTATAATTAAACTTTGACCTAGTGACTGTGCAGATAACATATGATTCTTTGTTTTTTTCTTCTTCTTCTTTTTAACCTATAGTTGATGTGTCTAACCTAGTAGAATTTTCAGAGAAAACAAGAACTAAAAATAATTTTTCTAAATTCTTTTAAAAACAAGATTTGGCTTTTTGAAGATGAGTAATAGGAACCTGCATTTACTGATACCTTGTAAATATTCTAGAGGATTTTTATATCTTTCCTTCTCAAGTAAGACAACTACCTCTTCAGAATGGCCACTGCTCCTTATGTAGCTTGTGTAATTCCAGGACTGCTGATCTGGGAATAAAGGGCATATGCTCACTGACATGATCATGTGGGCACACCGGTGTGTGTGTGTGTGTGTGTGTGTGTGTGTGTGTGTGTGTGTGTGTGTGTAATCATTCTCATTTTGAAGCCTAATAACTTTTCTGCACTTAACAGGTGTTTGAGATGGATATTGCTAAACAGTTACAAGCTTATGAGGTTGAGTACCATGTGCTTCAAGAAGAACTTATTGATTCCTCTCCTCTCAGTGACAACCAAAGAATGGATAAATTAGAGAAAACCAACAGCAGCTTACGCAAACAGAACCTTGACCTCCTAGAACAATTGCAGGTAAAGCATATTTATAAAGCAGCTTCCTGAATTACAGCAGATAGTAGCTCATTAACTCACCAAGGGCAACCGCAGACTGGACTTTCCCATGCCTGGAGGCTCTTTCTCACCCTTGTCTGTTTGTAGTTGTGATCAAAGGTATCCCAAGAAAATTGGTCCTTTTTATTAGGGTGCAGACAGATTTTCTTGCTAAGGTCAGACAGTCCTGGAGCTTACTGAGAGGTTCTTTTTGCACTAGGAGACAGACCTAGAGACATACTTAGTCCCACATTCTGTGGTACTGCCAGCTGAATGCCATCAGTTGTGTTATTTACCATGACAAGAGTTGAGAGCCTTCACTGCCATGAGCAGAGCAATCTAGGTCCACCCAGGGGTAATGAGGAAGGGAAGCAATACAGAAATCTACCTAACAGAATAAATCAGAACATGTAGTCAGTATCTGTGAGTCCTTGTAACTAATGCAGAGATTTGATTAGCAAAGGGCACAGTTCTCCTCTCTAGAACTTCCACTGGGACATGAATAAATGTAGTAGAGGACACACAGAAGACAGACAGTACAGCCTGGCCAGCAGAGGGAGAGACAGAGTGAGCACCATGATGCCATTCAGAGGCCTGGACCTGCCAGACCCAGTGAGGGCCCCACTCACTACCCTGTCACCCCAGACAGACCACCCATCCTGTTCCCTCATCTGGGTGACAGGCACAGAAAGACGTTATGCAAAGTGTTACTTCTTTCTCAGGCAACTAGCATATAGTAACTCTACATCCTACCTTTTTAATGTCATAGGTAGTGTTGAACAATACTGGGGAATGTTTTTAGTATTGTTTGCCAGTGCTAGGCTGGTTGTAAATTAAGTGCCCCCTTCCTGTCCAGAGACAGGAAGCTTGGCCATGCTGTAGAAATACCAGCATTTAACAGCCTGATGTTCTAAGTCCAGCCTTTGTCAGAAGTGCATTCCTTGGGTTGGAGGCATGGCTCAATTGGTAAAGCACTAACCAGTGAGTGAAAGAGTCAAGTGCCAAGTTCCAGTCTTCATCTTGGACTTAAATAAATCAAGTGCATTCCTCCCCCACAGCATCTATCCTAGTAGATCTTAGTAGATGTTTGCTGTAGAAGAACTAGACCAAACCAGAACCACAATTTAACTTCTTTTGTTCCCTAAGTTTGAGTTGTTCTAACTGAAAGCATGCCTGTATATATTCTCCTAGAGTGTCAGCTGTAATCAGAAGAGAGCATGAGGAGAGTGTGGGGCACAGAGACTTCTTTGGCCTGCTGGGATACATGCACAGTGTAGGTGGTCATTTTCAGTGGCTTCTGAGCCAGCAGGAGACCTCTGAAGCATAACATGGTAGAGCACTTCTGTGGGAGCTCGAATTCACAGACAATGCCTTGAGCTTGTTAAGGCAGCGAGGCAGCAAGCAGTTCTCACATAAAAGGTTCCCTCTGTTAGGCTACTGCCCACAAGGGTTTGGTGGGAGGGATGGGGGTGCTGCTGTTGTGAAACTGCCCACCTCTACGTATTAACAGCTGGGTGCAATGTCCCATGCCTCTAATCATAGCTACTTGGGAAACAGAATCAGGGCAAAAAAGTTCATGGGGCTCCATCTCAGTGGAATAAGCTGGGTGTGGTGGTGCATGCCTGTGATCCCATTTATTACAGGAAGAATAAATTAGGAGAATCAGAGTCCAGGCACAGGCCTAAATAAAAATGTTATACCTGGGCCTGAGAATATGGCTTAGTGGTAGAGTGCTTGCCTAGCATGCATGAAGCCCTGGGTTCTGTTCCTTAGTACCACATAAACAGAACAAGCTGGAAGTGGCACTGTGGCTCAAATGGTAGGGTGCTAGCCTTGAGCAAAAGCAGCTCAGGGACAGTTACCAGGCCCTGAGTTCAAGCCCCAGGGGAAAAAAAAATGTTAGTCCTATCTCAAAAATAACCAGTGCGAAAGCATGGCTTGGCAGTCCCTGAGTTCAAAGCCAGCATTTATTTGTTTGCTTATTTATTTATATAATCTTTAAGGTATGTCTAAAATTGTATACATTTATTAAACTCTTCATGTGTCTGAAGTAGATACACTGTTGTTCATTCATTTAAAATAAATGGATGAAATAAGTATGAAGTAGATTTTCTTAAAAACAAAGTAAGAAAATGTAGTTCTAGAAGCTGGAACTGTTCTTTTTAACCTATTTGTCCAGCAGCACATAAGATAACTGCATAGACATACCTGGTACTGACAGATAGAAATACACAGATTTCTTATGGCAGCTAGTTTTTGAGTACCCACTATGAGCTAGGGACTGGAAGTCAGAGTCTGAGAGAGATTTCTGTCTTCAGTCTTACTGAGGAAAGCTGCCATTAATGCAGAGTGGTAAATAACCAGGCAAGGGTGTTATTTACTGAGCTGGGGGGGGGGGTATGTGTTGGTGGATTTTGAGGATCACAGGGTGTGTCTTAGAGATGTGTACCAGGATGTCCACCTTCCCCTCTCAAATTGACAGAGACCAGCCCTCAGCCATTTACCCCTTTTTATTTTGAGTATTCCAATGGCACAGCTGAAGCTTGACTTTGAGTCATAAGCTGTCTTTCTGTCTCTCTGCCATAAGGATACATAAGTTCAAATGCACTTTTTTTCTTGACTTTTAAATGAGAAGCTAAGAAAGTTCTTTTCCTGCATGAAATAAATGGGGGCATGTGAAGAGCCAAACTGGATTAATAAGGTAGCAATCCTTACCAGCCACTGCTCTACAGAAAGGCTCCTTTCTCAGTGTTAGAACTTTTGTGGTCCTCTCAAGGATGGCCCTGTGTCACTAGAGAAGATTAAGGAAGAGAGGCCCCATTGCCCAGGCAGCATTGGAAGGCTTTCTTCTCTGGTACTGGTAGTGTGCTAGGCTCTACGGATGTGAACTGAGAGCTTTGTTCCTCCTCTAGGATAGGAAGGAGGACACTGCTCACTCTCACATTCAGGGGGTGATGGCCACTCAGGGAGCCAGTGCAGACCTCTTAGCAGCATGCTCTCATCCTGTGCATCTTGCAATGCTATCTTGCTACTCCAAGGGAAATAATTTCAGGCTAGGGAGCTGTTACTCCATAGAACTTCATATAGAAATCATTGTGAATCAAAGCAGTTTGTATATTACATATATGGCTTAGAACAGTGTTCTAGCACAGCAGGAGCTGTGTGTTCCTGGCCTCTGTCTCTTCCCCCTGAAGCACTCTTTGGCCATCACCTTGGTCCTGCCTGTGGTGGTGACCTGGGATCAGGGAAGGTGCTCTAAGATATTGCAGTCTGGTTCAGCCTGTCTACATGGGAAATTGAGAAAAACATGTGTGGCCAAAATTAATAATCATAGGCTAACTCTGGTAAGCGTCTCCACAGCTGGATGGCCAAGTGCACAGGACCCCCTGCTGTGTCATAATGGACAGGTACATTCTCATCACTCCTTTCATTCTCCAGGTGGCAAATAGCAGAATCCAAAGCCTTGAGGCCACAATAGAGAAGCTGCTGAGCAATGAAAGCAAGCTGAAGCAGGCCACGCTGGCTTTGGAGCTGGAGCGGTCTGCGCTGCTGCAGATGGTAGAGGAGCTGCGGAGGCCACCTGCCCAGGCCAGCGAGGGCCCTGGAGCCTGACTGCACCCAGCCCAGATCTGGAAAGAGACTACACACCATCCCACCACTGTCCAGGCCTTAACCCAGACAGACACATGCTGGAGGCAGACAATGGGAAAGCGAATTTCTCAGGGAGGAAACTAGTTCACCAATGTGCAAATTCTTTTGAGCTCACGCTTGCAATTCAGAGGACAAATGTCCCAGAGCTTTTATTATTATTGTTGTTTTAGGTTATGACTTGTCCCTTCTCACAATCCTGATTACCGTTCTAGTAGCTTTAGATGGCATGGACATGAATAAAGGCACCTTTATGTTTCCTTGGTGTTTCCTTTTTCAGTGACACTGTGTTTGCAAATAGCATTCATATACTAGGATTCCAGAAGCAGAAAGGTCTGAAGACAAAAATGTAAATCTGTCACTCTTCAAGAAAGAGCTTGTGTGACCACATTTTCGTGTCATTGAAGGAAGTACATCTAGCCATAATCTGTCCATTTTTTATTTGTAATTTTGTGCTAGTACTAGGGCTTGAATTCAGGTCCTGTGTGCTGTTCCTTAGTTTTTTCAGTCAAGGCTCTACCACTTGAGCCTTGAGTGGACCTCACAAGCTTCACTTGGGGCTTTTTGGTGGTTAATTGGAGATAAGAGTCTTAAAGTCTGGGCTGGCTCAGATCTCAGCCTCCTGAGTAAGTAGGAATACAGGCAAGAGCCTCCAGTGCCGGGTGGTCTGTCCATTCTTGATATGGAAACCTAAAATGACTATGGGAAGGAAAAAAGATACATTTAAATTGGACATCTTGAATTATTTAGCAAGTCTGACCACTGTTATTAGTACTTTAAAAAATCAGTCTTTAAAAAAAATTAGTGTTTCCATATTTTTTTTGTTTATCTTTAAAGTATAGGTGATCAGAGTCATGACACATAGTGTTTTGTAGGGAAATCACCAGTTTTTAGAGTTCATCAGGTATTCCTAGTACATGATCTGCAATTGTAGGGTCTCAGATATTTATTTCTTTGTGATGGTTTCATGCGCACACTAGAGTCATGTATTTATTTTTACCTGTTGTATGATGTGTTGCAGCCATGTATCCCTTTGAGTATCAATACTGTGGAGATCTGATCCCTTATGGAAGGATGAGGGTACGTCAAGATTTTCAGGGGTGTCCCAAGGTTCTGGATCTTTGAAAAGAGACCAGGCTGAAATGGCAATGAGATATATAGCAACTGACAGTTTTTCAAAGGTAGGAGTGTGTTTTGAACAGAACTCAGAACACCATGATACTTCTCTCAGGATGATGAGGACCCTGTGCCTTTAAACAAAGAGCTGCTCCTGGTCACCTTGTGTTCAGCTAGTCATTGTGTTAGGGGTTCTCCCAGTACTTAGAAGGGGCTGTTAGAGCTCTTAGAGAAGAACTGTGTGGCACAGGTGGCCTCCCAAACAGCAAAATCATTTCTGGTCCTTCTAATCATGACCCCTTCCATTTCTCACAAGTCTCTTGACTCTCTTGGTGTTAGGTTTTCTTTTAAGCCTGAGATAGAAGCAAGGGTCACCATACTTGGAGTCACTGTAATTTCTGAATGGTGGGTGTGGTTTTATACTGCCTGCTGCTTCTGGATCAGAGGAGAGTGGTTCTAAAACATGGCAAACCAGTTGCCTCTCTCACAAGTGGCTCCATCAGATGTAGCTTCAGGAGTTAACACTTGAGTTTGTCTTTCCAAATCAAATTTTACCATTTGGATATTTGATAAATGTCAAGTTTGGGCCATCTTATTACTACAATTCAAAAACAACTGCATCAAGAAACAACAAAGCAATAAAACAAACAATTTATGCCTATATTTTTCGGTGTTGTTGTTTTCTTGGGTTTTTTTTGAACTCCGGATTCTTGTTTTGTCGCCCATGAGTAAAGGAGTGAGCACTTGTGGGTCTAAGTGTAAATATTAGTATTAGTGAGACCCATTCTACTTTTATAGGTGCCACTAAGAGGTTGCATTGGTCTAGGTACCAGTGGTTCATACCTGTCGTCCTAACTACTCAGGAGGTTCAGAGCCAGCCCCAGCAGAAAAGACCATGAACATCCATTTCCAAAATAAGCAGCAAAAAGCCAGCTTGGAGGCTGAGCAAAGCGCAAGGCACAGAGTTCAAACCTGAGTACTGGCAAAAATAAATAACAAAAGATTGCACTGAGCCGGATCTGTGGACACAAACCTGTGAGTGTACGTCAGACATAATCTCAGCCTATGACTTGGCAGGAGAAGTAAGTTCACATCCCTGTGAAGGTTCTCAGGCAGTTTTTAAAGCAAGTTTCATGTTCTGCCCCTCCCCCCTCAAAGCTGCACACATAAGTACACTTGCAAGTTGTCTTGTGATACCATTAACTCTTGTATACTTATGACATTATGAGCCCTCAGGAAACTCACTATTTTACATGGTTGAAGATTGTGATCATTTAGATGTCACTTTCTAGTGCAGCCTAAAAATCATGGTTGATTTTATTGCAGTCACAGCTGAAGGGAGATTATTTCCAAACTCCAGTAACAGTTTGGAGGAAGAGCCCTGCTTGTCAAAGTAAGTCACTGTGTGCATTCTTTGTTCTTATTGACCGATTTTGCTGATTGTCATTGAAATCTGGCTAGTGAATTTCCATCCATTTTAGATGTGTTAGAGTTTTATATTTTTAACTAAAGACTTTTAAGACACTGAAATTCTCAATTTGGGAGCTTTTCAACTAGTTACACAAATGTTTCCAAGTTTGTTTGAGTAACACTCTCACATAGCTTTTGCCAAAGCATGCCCTAAAGCAATGGCACCATTTCCACACAGCTTTTCTGCCAAGCCTTTGCACAGCGCTTTCTTAGGGACCTTTTCGTGGCCTCCACCACTTGGGGTTTGCTGCCCTGCATACTTAAGGCAGTAGTAGAGGTAGAAGATTCAAGTCTGAATCTTCTTTTACCATATAGCCACCTATTCTATATATATGTATGTCGATCTATTGTCTACATAGCCACCGATAACTCTTTCCTAGAGAGCTGCTGGAGTTTCATATTCCAAACTTGCAATATGCTTGGCTGAGTAGAGCCAAAAACAGCTAAACTCTGTGCGTGTGTGTGTGTGTGTGTGTGTGTGTGTGTGTGTGTAAAGAATAGATTGTATGGCCAGGTACCAGTGGCTCACACCTGTAATCCTAGCTACTCAGGAGGCTGAGATCTGAGGATCCAGGTGTAAAGCCAGCTCTGGCAGGAAACTCCTTGAGAGTCTTCTCTCCAATTAACTACCAAAAAGCTGGAAGTGGAGCTATAGCTTAAGTGGCACAGCACTAGCCTTGAGAACAAAAAAAAAAAAAGCTCAGGAACAGCACCCTGGCCCTGAGTTCAAGCCCACGGACAGCTCCCCCCACCAAAAAAAGAGAAAAGATAGAATGTGTAAATTGAGGCACTTTATTATCATAATGCTCTTTCTCAGGCCCACTGGTGCTAGCATGGCCAACAAGATATGACCAAGGAGAAACAATCTTGTCGCATTACTTTTCCAGACAGGATTGTCTGCTTTTACTCCCCACATCCCCTTTTATTTAGTAGCTCGAGCTGGCCTCAAACTGACAATTTTCCTGCCCCATGCTCCAGAGTATTGGGGTTATTGGTGTATAAAACCATACCAGACTTGTTTCCCTTACTCTTCTGATGACCATTTCTCTTTTTCTTTCTCTCTTTCCAGTAACCCTTTCTCTTATTCTTTGTTTGGATCTGTGTTGATCAATTTTGAGTGTATCCTTCCTGCTCTAGAAATTTCTTCCTGAACCAAAGGTGACTGTGACTATTGTTAAGCTCCAGTTCTAGATTTTGGCCCCGGCAGGGTGATCCCCATGCAGATATGCCATCTCAGGAAACCTGTGCAGATGGTGAAATAGCATGTGAGCAAAGCCGAGGCAAGATTGCTTGGGGGTGGTTAGTGCCAAGGTTCTGCCCGTCTCAGTTCTTCCTGGACTTTCTAAGAAGGAGGACATGATCTATTTTCCTTTATTGGAAGTACACGGCCATCTCTTTACTCCTGCATTTCCTACACTCAAACCATCTCCATGCCTTGACTATTAGGAAGGATAAATTTGGCTTTTGTCACCCAGGATCCACCTCTTCACCACAGCCCCCCCTGACTACATAATCGAGTTGCACCTCTATGACTCTCTGGGTGCATCTCTACAGACATGCTAACTCACTGCTTGCCTAGCAACCTCCCTAGCAATGGTTATGGTAGGTAGCAATGCTATATACTACTGGTACCATTCACTAAGCCTTGGAATAACAGTATCTGCTATCATTTAAACTTTCCATCTCACAGAGAGATACACATTTGGAATACATAAACGGGAATCACTCACAAGGTGATTGGTCAGAGAAGACTCAGCTGAGGAACTGGTATTCAAGTGAAACTCTGAAGATAAAAGGAAAAACAGGTAACTGAGGAGAGAAGTGAGTGTTCTGGGCAGATTAATATTTAGGTGAGGGAAAAATCCTTTCCAATGATGCCGAATTCTATCCCAGCTTAGGTCTTATGCTAAGTCCTTTAAAACACTAAATCAACTGCTGTGGTTTGAATGTTTCCCTTTGAAATTAATATGTTGTCTATCATCCAATAACGGTGGGGACTTTGGGAAGTAGGTCAGGAGGGCTTCACTTGTGAATGAGATTAGTGCTCTGTGTGTGTGTGTGTGTGTGTGTGTGTGTGTGTGTGTGTGTGTTGGTGCCAGTCCTGGGGCTTGAACTTGGGCTGGGCACTGTCTCTGAGGTTTTTTTTACTCATGGCTAACACTCTACCACTTGAGCCACAGCTCCACTTCTGGCTTTTTCGTTGGGGTAGGGAGGTGATTAATTGGAAATAAGAGTGTCACACACTTTCCTATCCTCGATCCTCAGATCTCAGCCTCCTGAGCAGCTAGGGATACAGGAATGAGCCCAGTGCCTGGCTGAGTAGTGCCTTTTTCAGAGAACCTGGAGGGGATTTCCCTTCCACCAGGTGAAGATGTATTGAAGCTTGAAAGTAGTATTCACCTATGAGGTATAGGCCCCCATCCTGCCTTGATTCTCTGTTATGAATTATCAAGTCTAAGCAACCCAAATAAACTAAGAAAAGCCTTAACAGCATGTCTTTTTCAGATGGCAAGAAAATATCAACATTTTTGACAATCAATTTCCAATTATTGTGCTATCCCATAAACAGAAGTGATAAAGCATTAGCTTGATCCATTGACTATTTCAATGGCCATGAGGGAATTTGCTTTTCTCAAGCACTAAAGTGCAAGAAGAAGTGGTCACTGTGTTCAGCACCTGGCAGGGAGGGGCCTTGGTATTTCAGTTTATGGTGGCCTCACTGCAGATCTGGCAGCCATCCTGTGGACATAGCCCCATCCACCTGGTCAGCAAGGGAAAACTAGGCATTGAGAAGACATTCCTTAGAGTCTGGGGAGGGGAGTTAACACGTGTGATTTTATGGCCTGAGAGTATGAAAGCGACTTTGTGAGACTCCAAAAGTAAATCCAGACCATCCAAATTTCATTCCAGGATGCTGAGAAAATATGAGCAAAAACTTGCTCCTTTGCTGTTAGTATTTTTTTTGGAATAGATTGACAATGGTATTAGAAATGGGAGCCCAAGAGGGTTTGAAGATGATAGAGCTGGCTAGAATTCCTATTATGTGTCATGAAGTAGAAGTGGATGGCTTAATTTGTGGTTGTCATTGAGTCCAGAACAACTCTGTTGTATGTAAATTATAAAGATGTGCTTGCAGATACTTCTTTAATCCTTGTGTCTGTTTAAAAAGCCTCCAGAAATTTTCAGGTACTTCTGAATCATATTTGTTTTAAATACAAGGTCAATGTTAAGTTAAGCTTGTGATTTTACTCCTAGTCTCCATTTCCTCCAAAACAATTACAGCCAACTTGGTAGCCTTCCCATTAGCCAATGTATAGACATTTGGTTCTGAGGCATGACTCAGAATCCTGTCCAGTTTTATTTTATTTTAGTTCATGTTTACTCAAATCTTTTTTTTTTTTGGTCAGTTATATGGCTTGAACTCAGCAGCCTGCATGCTGTCCCTGAGCTCTTTTTTGTTCAAGGCTCGTGCTCTACCACCTTGAGCCACAATTCCACTTCTAGTTTTCTGGTGGCTAATCTGAGATGAAAGTCTCACGAACCTTCCTACCCAGGCTTTGCACCGTGATCCTCAGATCTCAGCCACCTGGGTAGCTAGGATTATAGGTGTGAGCTACCAGTGCCCGGGCTCAAATCTTCAAATCCTCAAAATTTGGAGAGAAAGATGAAAGCTTGATGCTAATAGAATAAATATCCAGTGGTTATAAGGACAAGCCCTGAAGTTAACTGGAATCGAATCCTAACTTCTTCTCTGTGAAGTAGGAATAACAGTAGCTATTTTACAGGATTATTGTGTGGATATTTATGAAAAGCACTGAGCTCTATGACTGAGAGCAAGTTAACAATAAATGTTAGTTATGGTTACATTATGATGCTATAAACTAAATGGATCCCGTTCTGTGAGCTTGAAATCACCCTTAGGCAAAATTCTTCTACAGATTGTGAACATTTCAAATAGATGGTCTTCAGAATGGTTATGAGTCCCTAAGGTCAGTATAATTATTGTGCCAATGTAAAATTGTATTTTTGAAAGTGGAATAACCAAATATAAGATGAGCACCAAGGAAAACATACCTAATGTTAGCAACACTTTTGACACTATCTTCTGTGATGCCTAAGAAAATTAAAGTGTTGACATCTAGGGGTATGGGTCAGTTTCAGGTAAAGAATTAAGAAATAGAATAAGTAATA